CATGGGCTGATTGAACCTTCTTTGAGAAAAGGTGTTAGCAGGTCACAACACAAGATAGAAGCAAGACATTGGCAGATTGGATGTAGCACAATTGACCTTCATCTACAGTATATCTTAGAGTAGTGGGTAGACAGCCTGACTCCCTCCTAAGTTTTTGGGCTAACTCCTGTAATTTTGACCTAGGGTTTATTGGAGTTGTAGTCCAAAATATTTGGAAGACAATTAATTGCTTAATCCTGCTCTAGATGGATTGCAGATTATTGTAGGTAATTCAATCCTAGATTATATATGCAATGTGCAGTTATATATGCAGTTATATATGCAGTTAAATAACTATTGGATATCCAATCCAATCCTAGATTGGATTATTGTAAGATTTGAAATGGCCATTTTATTTTTTTAAGATATCAGTTGGGCAGAATATGCATTTTAGTTTATTTTCTATAGCTCTATATACTGGCAAGAGAAATATATGGATATATATTGTGAGCTGTCCAGAGACGAAAGTGATGGATGGGCTAGAAATAAATAAATACATAAATAAAATATATAACAAAATGGCCTAGAGTAGAATCCAGACTACCTTCACAATCTCATATCTGATCAGAAGCAAGCCCCACTCAGTTCAATGGGACTTATTCACAGGATTCCAGTGTAAATTAGTGAAATTTAGAGTTCCTTGGTTTCCACTGAAATTAATGTGCGACCCTTAATTAGTCCCTATAAAATCACCAGGACTTAAGTGAAACTACGCCACCTGAACCTAATCAAACAGTATCCTGAGGTAAGCAGATGGGAGGGGATGCCGAACCCCTTAAGAACACTACAAAGTAACCTAATATACACAAGTTTAAATTTCCGAAGCCCTGAGCACAGAGATGCTTTTGGAAAGGACCTCTAAATGTCAATCAGATGTTTCTGGTCCATCAAGGATAATATGCCAATTTAAAATGGACATTTGGCACAATGATTTTGGAAATCAAAATAAATGAGACTAGTATACCAGTAAGCACACTTGGCTGGAAGAAAGACCCACTGATTGCAGCCACCATCACTTGGCATTTTCATAGTTGCCATTAAAAATTGACTAAATCTATTCTCCATCAAATGCATTGAGCACAAAATTTATGGCATAACAAAGCTTAAAACTAGGAACACCATATCAAAATAATACAAGTTTTATATCTTTGTGAGTAGCAGTCAACATAATGTCAAGTTCTCCATTAAAATAGTAATAATACACCAACACTCTGGTTTACAGAATTATGAATTGTCCCTTTTCCCAGTTGATAAACAAGACAGTATAGAAAGCAAAGGTCCTGAAACAAATGCTAAGAACACAAATAATTTCTCAAAGATTTCTGACATCCTAGTATAGCTTCTCTCTACTATTTCTAAAGAGCGGTGCATTACCTAGACTTCTCATTGCACATATTATGGTATGATCTACCATAAGGAGACTTTAAGGAGGTTTTAAGTTACTTAACTATAAACATTGCATGCCTATGAACTATATGGTCATGATTTTAAGGACTAGCTTTTATTCTACAGCTAAGTGTAGATTTAAGTACCTTTGAGGAATTGTGTGGGTGCTCTTTTCCTTAAAAGACTGATTGGTGCCATAAAAGAAGATTATGTTGCAGAACTACATATCCTAACAACTCTGACCAGTGATTATTCTAGTTGATGTGATAGAACTTGAAATCCAATATATCTGAAGCTTTCAACCCCCATATTTCAGAACTGATAATAGAATATTAGAAATATTCTAATTCTGAACTGCAGGTGACAGCAAGTAGCAAATTTACAATTAGTTACTTGCTTTCATATAATCTGGGATAGTATTTCTTATCCTGACTGGGTTCACACAATGGAATAACCCAACTCAGAGCTGAGTGTGTAGAAGGGTAGGTTGTTGCTGTATTGTGTGTACCTAGTTATGTTGTCAGCCACAAAGTCTTTCTGTGGATGGTTCATGCTTTACAAATCATAGCCTGTTAGTGTAGCTGGATTCACAAAACGCAACCTGTGATTTGGCAACAACCCATGGTTTAATAATCACCCACCCAAAGATTGGTTCACACACAAAAATAAGCTAGGAGTAGCTCGTTCTGAGGTCTGAACCCAACAGCATGGTTGGTTACCCATGCACAAGTCAGTGTGGCTAAGTTCAGACACACAACAAGCCAACTGTGGCTTATAAGCCCACCAGGGCTTTCATGCTGTGAGAGCCCAGTTTTGAGTGTGGATTGTTGCTGAATCTTAGGTTTTTCTGTTGTGAGAACCTACCTATTTGATACTGAATATATATTTGCACACACTGGTGTGTATGGAACTTAAGACAGTTGAATTACAATGCATGGTAAAATGCACACTTTTTGCATACTATAAATGGAAGCTGTATTATACTTGAACATGCACTCTTAACTGACTTGTGTGAGGTTTTCCCCAACTGAAACTGATAAGTTGTATTCAGAAGTTTCCTGTCCCATTATAAATATTGGATTATTTAATTTAGAGTTTAGAGATTTATTAAATTAATTTCTATATCATTCAGCAGACAAATTATAAAATAAAAATATAATATATTCAATATCTAGTCATGGCAGAAAGTTTACAGTTAAAGCCATGTGGACAACTAGTTCTATTATTGTTTCAGATAAAACTCTGCAGCACTGCACTTCATGCATGTATTATTAACTTACAATGAAATAATCTAGGATCTTATCCAGAGGTACATGAAACAATGCATATTGCTATTTTTAATCTGAGAAAGGATAAGAACAATATAGGGAAATATGAAGTCCTTAAGATTATACAAAAACTCTTGATGTAACCAAGAACAGGCCACTGGCTTCCACTAAGCTTTCAGGGGTGGGTTGAGAAAGAGCCAGGATCCTGGACACTTCTTGGTTAATTTCAGAGTTATGGGTGGCAAAGATCTACAAGGAAAACTTTCAATGGGTAGCATTTGAAATAACAACAACAACAACAATTTTAAAGGATCTGGCAAGTTTTTCTGCTTTTTGTGTCTTTCCATAACTAAAGCTTATTCATTCTACTTGGCCATTCACAAAGATTTGCTGAATTGTTTTACAAATAAGCTCTGTTATGCAGGGCACTTTCTCCACTGCAAGTGTTATCATGGAATACACACGCACTTTCACAAACGAATATACCAGCTATCACTTTTGCTTCTCTATCACCCTTCTCTCCAATAGCAGCCTGCCATTAAAATGCAAATACAATGGCCTCATTAGCTAGCAAACAACACCCACTGACCTTCTTTTACAGAGGGAAGATCTCTCTTCATGTATTGAGTTTTCAGAAAGGCAATTTTTAGAATATAACAGCCACTCAAGTCCCTTTCTCGTGATGCTTGCCCCATCTTATGGTATCAGGTTTTGTATTTGCATACCCACCATCACGGAAATATATATATATATATATCTCAGAATGAGATCATTAGAGTGAAGGTTTCAGCAGAAGCTTACTAAGATCACATCGGCGCCCTCCCCCTCCCACCCTCTTCCCTTTCTCCCTCCCTTCCCATCAGAATCTTTGCAAAAGGGAAATTATAACCATCGCCGGGCAGTGTCGAGGAAAACTTGCTAAAATGCTCAAGAAACGATTTTAGCAATGCTTCCACTGCGGGTCCGAAATATCACCAGCGAGGGCGATTGGAAATGAGTTACCCCTTCAAACAACACAAAAAGCACCTAAAATATACCAACTGGGCACAACACTGTGTGTCCGAGGGAAGCACTCCTCGTCGATTTGGGCTCAACGTCCCTGCTCTGGCCAAAAGGCAATTATTTTAAAAGGACATAAAGGCGACGCTTTTCTTCCGCTTCTTGAGCTACACTCCGAGTATCATGGGATTTGGCCATTACGATGACAAAACGATATCAGAATAATACCCTGAACTGAGAAGAGAAAGGAAGCGGTGATGTCAGTCTCCCTCTAATGCTCTTTCTCTCCCCAGGATGAGGCTTCGGTTTCCTTAAGCGCCCCTGACCTTGCAGTCCTCCAAACTCCACAATCACCCTCTCTCTCGCTTCTTCTTCTCCCCCGGCCTCCCCCTCTGCCTCTTGGACTGCGCCTGCCTTTGTGTCTGCTTGTCACTCACCGGCAAACCAAATGAGAGCTGATTCATGAAAAGCACAAAGCCAGAAAACAGACTTTCACACACAAAAATCCACACAGCGAGCGCGCCCGCGCGCGCACACACACCCTGATCCACCGGGACGAGACAGAAGGTCCGCGCTTTCTAACCAAAGCTCCTCTTCGGAAAGAGTTTGCCCCTGCCCAGAGATCACACACCCTCGCTTCTACTTAAAGAAAGGAAAGAAAAAGGGAAGGTTAAAATTAAAGGACGTGCTCTTAAAGTTTTGCTCAGCTATCCCAAGCGTTGTTTTTCCCCCTCCTGAAATAAACGATCTCCCCAAGAACTCGGAGTCTCCTTGCAGAATAAAGCCGATTCGATTAAGAAACCAGCACGTGTATAAGCGAGAAACACATATTTAAAGGGCGACGCGGGAGGGGAGAAGAAGAGAAAGCGAAGAAGTGCAACTAGATAAAAGAGTAACTTCTGTTAAGGCAGAGTTACTTCACTAGAAACAACATGAAAATAAAAAAGATCACCCACCGAAACCAAGCTGCGGAGCACAGCTAAAAAAGCAAAGTTCGCAGGGCGACGGCAGCACAGGAAAAAGGAGGGGGGTGCCAGAAACCTATTTTAATCGTTTGCCTTTTTTTTTTTTAAAGACTCTTTGTCAGCCATGTTGGAGAAGCAGTTGTAATTTTTTTCTCATTGCACTTGGAATTGAGGAGAGTTGTGTGGGGTGTTTTGGGATGTGCGTGTGTGCTTAAAATAAAAGTCATGCCAAGGAGCCCAGCGGAGAAAGGAGGAAGGAAAAGGCGAGTTTGAAATGGCAGGGCAGAGGAGAGAGGAAGAGGGAAGGAGAGATAGAGAGAGAGGAAGAGAGAAGCGCTCTGACCTCTTTCCAGCAAGTCCCTCAGCCTCGTAGAATCCAGCCAAAGCAATCTGATCTCCCGTCTATCCAATCCTAAAGGGCAGCCATCTTGCTTCCTTCTGCTCCTTTACGAAAGCAGCCTAGCCTCCGCATCAATATTCATAAGGGCCGTTTTGACGTCTGTTCGCACATCACTCTATGAAGCCCCGGCGTCGCTCCCAGCGGCGGACGTGACTACCATGTGAACGAACTCGAAAGCACACCGGGAAGGGCCGGGCCGGCGGGCGGGCGAAGCGGCTTGGAGCAGCGAGTCTCGCGCAGCGCCGGGCGGCCGGGCGAGCCAGCGGCGGCTCCCTGCCTGCAGAAATGTGGCTTCCCCCCCGGCTGCGGGCTTCCCCGCATCAAGGCGTGGGATGCTTGGCACTGGCCGTGTATTGTGCTGCAAAGGCTGCAGCGGCGCTGCTTATCCCGCACGCTTCGCCAGGGCCGGGCTGCCAGGGAAGGCTTTAGGGCGGCTCTGACAGAAAGCGGCGGAGTTCCCAAAGAGGAACCAGCACACGGCAGGAACCAGGACCCGGAGAGCCGTTGTTTCTCGTCATGTGCTGCTGCTGCTGCTGCGGCGCTGCAGCTCCGGCAACGTGACACGGTCGCAGACAAAGGGCTCAAAACAAGGAGCTGTCATTCTTAACAGATGTTGTTTCCTGGTTGGCGGAGTGGGGGGGAGGGAGAGGGAGCGCTCCCGCTCTCCGTGGCCCTTTAAGGGGAAGAGGCTTTCACAATGGCTCGCACGTCGGCTCCGGCGAAGCGCCCTCCCACCCTATTTCCATATCGGGCGCTCCTCCGGCCCCCATTGGCTGCCCGCGCGCTCCGGAGCGCTCGGAGTCTCCGCGAAAGGTCTCCTGCGGGCTCTGAACTTCGGGAAAGTCCGCGAGGTCTTCCACGAGGTGCTACTCGTGTTTACGCTGGCCAGGGGAGGGAAGCGGGAGAGCATGTGACACGCATGTTCGCTGCTGGGAGCAGCCTCTCTGCGCGCTGCCTCGAAGGGGGCCGAAGCAGGCGTCCCTTGTGTCTGGCGGCTGCGTCTCCGCTCCGGATGGCGAGCCGGCGGAGGGCATCCCTAAGGTGGACTGGGGCTTTAGCGCGCGCGCGGGCGGGGGTAAGATCCAGCTCGCGGGGCTGATGCATGTGCTGTAGAGTAGAAATGGGAACGAGGATGGAAAGAAGACATTTTAAAAGAAGTGTCTGTTTTGCCCCCGTGCTTCTCACATGTGCGTCATTGCACGAGGTTTTGCAAAACCCCTTAAAGATTGAGAGGGAGGCAGCACTGATGTCTAAGCTCGTATTTAAATGCTGTTCTGGAGAGGAATATAACAGTTCGATTCTGTCAGAAGATCCGTGGGCACGTTTAACCCTGCCTAGGCCTGCACTGAGTATTGTAACATAGCTGGTAAAAACTTCACATTTTTTAAGGTTGCAAAGCAATAGACCATTGTTGATCACAGCAATGAGGAAGAATTGCTCCAACTTTGGGAACACAAACCATAGACATGCAGGGTAACATTGTAGCCATTGTGTAGCCAATGAAACGTTACATTGAATTGGTCATATTAGATACAAAGGATAACACTGAAACAAAATAAAAGAGAAGCGAATTGGAATTAAGAGTGGTTTGTTGCTCTGCCATTTGTACATTTTAAAATGTATAGTCTCTGTGTTGTATTTTCTTAACCGGTCAAGTTTGGAAAATTAGCGTGCAATGACTCCCAGTATTCTCTAGCCAGCAATATTATATTCAAGTCGATTCGGAAAGTATAACAGAAATGACAAAACACGTTGCCCACCACTCAGAAACAAATGCATTAAATACTTAATAGAAATTAATGAAGTTTATTTATTTATTTTATAGATGCTTTGATATACTGTCCTGCATAGCCAATGGGTCTCAGAATGGTTTACAAAATTAAAAATAAGTTTAGATTAAAAAGACTATAAAATACCAAAATTTTGTTGCAATATTGCTATGAATATTGTTATGGATGTATTGTTGTACGTTACAATAACAATAGATTTCACCATCAGCAAAACCAAAAACAAAATAATTAAATGTAAAATAAACATTAATGAAATAGCTTAAACAGACAAACAGACCCAACAAGTTCATAAAAACAAGTATAATAATTTTAAAGAATTCTTAACAGTTAAAATACTGGGAGAACAAAAAGGATTTTGTCTGGTACCAGAAGATGTATCATGGTGCACCAGTCATATTTCTCTGGGGAGTGAGTTCCATAAATATAAATAAGGAAGGTGAACCACTCTGGGACTGTTTCCATGATGCAACAGTTCACCGAGGATGTATCCAGGCTGCCACTTCACATATGCAGCCCTGGAGCAGGGGATGCCATGTCATGTGAAAATGGCGAACCCAGGGTCAGTTTTTCAAATCTCCCATGCCATGACAACACCCAGGTGAGCATTGCATGCACAGCCTGGCAGCTGTGGGCAGTGAGGCTCCTCTGACCCTGGTCTCAGTTGATTAAGGGCACAATCCTACTTTGGGTGAGACAGAAGCAACATTCCTGTAACTCCACCATTTGCCAAGTACAGTAGTAGGTCCCATATTATATCGAACCTTTTATCCTTCCAAGGAATTCAAGGGTTACATGGCACCTGAGGTTTTGAAAAACACAGCGCTGGTGTCTTGCATAATTCTGCTCCTCCTCTCAGTCTTATCTTCACAACGGCCCTGTGAGGTAGGTTGGGCTGAGTGTCTGTGACTAGCCCAAAGCCAACCAGCTGGCTCCATGGCTGAGTGGGGTCTAGAACCCAGAACTCCCAGATCCCTAGTCCTGCACACTTAATCACTAAACTACACTGCCTCATAGTGCTTTCTGTGTAAACATGCATTGGATTGTGACTTTAATGCAATGTTCACAATGCAATCCTGTTCTCACATATTTCTTTGTTACTGGAGGTCTGATAATCAGAGTTTCCTGGGTGATGTATAGGGAAACTAGAAATTCCATGAGATGCTTAATAGTTTTCTGCTAAAGTTTTGCTGCAGAGCATAACAAGCAACATTAATAAGAGACAACAGGATGACATTCATCTTCACCTAGGTCTTAGATCATGTTTAAGTCATCTTCAGGAACATCTATGGCTATAACTACAGTGAAGGTTAAAAACATGCTGTGTTTTCCTACTTAATTCTGATTATGCTGAGTAGCTTTAAGGCTATACTCCCTTGCCTAAGTGCCACTGCAGTACCACTGAAATTACTGAGACTTACTTCTGAATTGGCATGTATAGGATTGTACTGAAAATATCTAACAATCACAAACACTATGAATGAATAATGGTGCTACCTGACCCAAAAGACCTGCCTGCATGGTCATGGCCTACTCAGAGAAGAGCATTGTTGTCTGCCAGTAGAAGGATAGCAAAGAGTGAACCAACCTACCCTTCCTTGGCAGGCAGTTTCACTGCTTGGAAAGAGCCACTGAGAAGCCCTTTTCTCTCTTTGTCCCAGAAATACTATTGAAAAAGGACCACCCCTAAAGATCTTAAAGGTCAGGCAAGTTGATATGGGAGAAGGTGATCTTCAGGTAACCTAGTCTCAAGCCTTTATAGAACCTCCTCCATGATCTTCTTTAAGCACTCTGTAGGCACAATCCTATGAAAGTTTGCACAGGAAAAGCATACTGTCTAAACTTGTATAGAAACGTACACCTAGAGAAATTGATCTAGGACAGTGTTGGACCCCTCATTGCACTCCCTAACCACTTCTAAAGTTAGGATATGTTTCTTGATAGGATGATCAAGGCAATATGGTTGCAAGAAACCTTTTGAACTGATTCAGCTATACTCTTATCATATCTTCCATCTCTTAATCACATCAGTCTTTCCTCTGATTAAGGAATTCAATTCTTTCAGTTTTGCTTTATTTAAAAGGCAATGTGTGTCAGATCAGTGAAGCCTGGTGCTATGTAGGGGTGGGTCAAACCATTTCACTGCCTCATCACACCCCATGAGTTCCACCAGAGTGGCAGATGACACTGACTTCATCCTGGGCAGCAGGACAGGATCCCCCAGCTCAGGAGGGTGCAGGGCAGGCCATGCCGTCCAGCACACACGGCTCTGTGCTTCGGAGCGGCAGTACAGAGCAACCTCCTGACTCTATGGGCCCCTTTCACACTGCTTGCCGTTTGCTCATTTGCTACCTGGGCAACTGCCTCACTTTGCCTAGCCTTGATGCTATATGTTGTTACTTGTAAGTGAGTCCCATTGAGATCCTTGCCATGAAATCCTCAACATGTGTATGCAGAACTATGTTTCCCTGTTTGCAGTGGAGCTTACCAACAGCCATGTCTAGGGCTGCAGTCATTGTTGGCTTCCTAGGAGAGCAGTTACAAGAAGGGATTGGGAGTGAAGTGGCAGATCCCAAGCCCTGCCACATTGTACCAGCCTTCCACTGAAATGACGGCTGTGTGTGTATGCGAGCATTATGTCAGCCCTGAGTCCTGGGGTACCCAGGGCAAGAGCCCTGCTCCCTGTGTCTTAGCACATCCCCAGTTCAAGGCCTTCTGCTGGTGGGAATGTCACTGCATGTAGATTCACATCTGCAGAGTTTTCTGCAGACAGTTGCTGGAGCTTCTGGAGTAGATATTTTCAGGGTCTGATACCCCCTGCTGCTCACAGGCTCTCCTTCCAGCAGATCTGCAGGTTAGGATTGTGCTGTGAATCCTGTATGGTTTGGCCATATCCTTATACAGTAAAAACTTGATAATCCTGTTTGAAGCACAGGCAGCTAGTATATTTGTTTGAAAGTACTGATATGCTGCCTTCTGTTTACATATCATATGTGAAAACCAAAAAGATTCTGAAAATTTGAAAAGTTTGAAAACAGTGGTCACAAATGGTTGTGTAAAGGGTTACAACTGGTGCATAAATGGGGACATACATACTTCTTTTGGGAGGGTGCTCCAAACAAGGAGTACCACTATCAAGAATGCTATCTCAAGTGCCCTCAACATTCTGATAGATTTTGGTGGTGGGACTGCAAACAGGGCCTCACAGAAAAAGGAGTGATGAGCAGTAGACGTGCTGGATCTGAAAGCTGCCCTGAAAAAAGCAGACAAACCAGCTGCCCTCCCATCTTCCAGCCAGTATAAGCAGCTACAGGGAACTTTTAAACTGTTGTATTACCGATTCATTTACTCAAGAGAAATATGTATATTAGGACCACAGTGTATTAATGAATGA